TAAAGCCGGCGCAATAAACGCTCTTTGAAAGTAGACTGTTTTACTGCAGCAAAATAAATGGACTTATTGAGCCTTCTTAAGCTTGTCACCTGAGTGCTTTGGAAACCAAATAATTATGGAAATAGCAGTGCAAGTCGGCACTGGAATCCTGTGGAAAGGGCAGGTGTTTAACTTCTAAAATGAGTGACCACGCTCTGTTTTCTTCACGGCTGCAGGCGAAGTATAAGGAACGAGGCAATGTCCTGGCCGAAGATCAGATCGCCCAGGTGAGCACTAATATGGAATTGATTTTTTTCCCCCCAGTAGTTTAGGGGGAGTGCAGACCCGTGAGTGCATCAGTAAGTTACTTTGCTCTTGTTTTTTTTTTTAATGCGTTGAATTCCAGATGTCGAAGCAGCTGGAGACCTTCAAGACCCACCTGGAGGAGTTTGCCAGCAAGCACAAGCAGGAGATCCGCAAGAGTGCCCAGTTCCGCCTGCAGTTCCAGGAGATGTGTGCCACCATCGCCGTGGACCCGCTGGCCTGTAACTGCAGCCCCTCCCTCTGCCCCATGTCTGCTGTGTTCATTCCCATCCGCTACCACATCATCGGCACATAACATAACATCACTTTATTGGCCCTATACAATTTCTTGCACTAGGAATTCGTCTTTTCGCAGACCCCAGCTTGCTCTCCATGAGACACACAGACAGGGAGAGGAGCTTGGGGTCAGAGCGCAGGGTCAGCCATTGTAGGGCGCCCCTGGAGCAGTTGGGGTTAAGGGCCTTGCTCAGGGATCCAACGGAGTAGGATTCCTCTGCCGGCTGCGGGATTTGAACCGGCAACAACAGGCGCAGATCCTGAGCCACAGAGCCACCGCTCCGCCCCAATCCCAGTGCCGCGAAGCTCATTTGTCGCCCTTGGAATTTCAAACTTTTAGACGCTGTTAACCAGGCTTGTGGTTAACCTAGTAACCTAGTTGTGATTAAGTTACATGGCGTGCTTCTCTGTTCTGCCTGAACGGGCACAGCTGGGTGTCTCATTCGCCACCTGGTGGGAATAAATGGGCCACCTTCTGCCCGTGTTTCAGCGGGCAAGCGCAGGGCTGAATTGCGTGTTGGATGGGCTCCCAGATGAGCTTTCTGGTAAACTGTGGCGGTGATGTTAAGGCAGAAGCTGCACAGGCCTTGTGCTGGAGCTAGTTCGGGTGATTTTAACTGGGGAAAATTAGGAAACGGATTTGGCCAAAGGAGAGTTGAAAAGGGCACTACTGGACAAAACAAACACTGAAAATGTGGGCGGGGTGCATGACAGAGCAAAGCAGACGAGAGCAGCTAGTTCTGATCTTGTCATGTCAAACACACTATTAAAGCTCATTGCCCACCCTTTGCAAAGGGACCCCTCTTCACAGCTTGTTTAATCTTTTTGCCGGGGAGCCTGTGTTCACCCCTTCACGCAATTGTGAATATACTTCATGGAATTATAACCGAGTTATAAAAAAAACTCGGGAGGAAGGTTAGATCGTGATCTTGCTCTGCTGATCACCTGTGTTTATAAGTCTCGCACCTGGGACTCCCCGTTCTGCTTGTACTCCTCCTGCCCTCCCATCTGTACCCCCCCCCCCAGCCCGTGATCTCTCTGGCTCAATCCTCTGCATATCTAGTCTCTCTTGTCTTTATGAGGATCTAAACAAACTACTGAATTTATGTTTGGGGTTTGCTAATTGTGTGTTTCTGTGTACTGGCTAACAGAATCCATTCAGCGTGTCTGACGTATGGCGTTTCTGTTCCCCTGTGCAGCTGGGAAGGGCTTCTGGTCGGAGATGCTGGGCGTGGGGGACTTCTACTACGAACTGGGGGTGCAGATCATCGAGGTGTGCCTGGCACTGAAGCACAGGAACGGGGGTGAGTACTGGCTGGTGGGGGGAAGGGCGATTCACTGCTCATGATGCACACCTCCCTTCCCAGCTGAAGGCATGAACAGGAAGGCAGTTAAAGCACTATTAGATTAAAACCTGGCAGAGCACCAGAATAATAATCTTATAAATGGGTAACTAGCCTGGACCATAAAGGTTCAAATAATTCACAACAACGCACTGTGTGAAGTTGCACCTATATTTCATTTCATTATATTGTCGACGAGGCGAGGACTTTGTACTTTTGTGAAGAAAATAATAACGGCAGCATGCTGGCCTGACGCAGTTGGAAATATCTGTGCCAGCAAAAACATGAAATATAATGGACTTGGTCTTGAAATGTAATGATGATAATGCTGTAATGAAGGTGGCTCAAGAGCTCTGGCTGTCTGTCTGCTTGTCAGGACTGATCACCTTGGATGAGCTCCACCAGAAGGTGCTGAAGGGGAGGGGCAAGTTTGCCCAGGACGTCAGTCAGTGAGTATGGCCACACCCAGCGGTGGGGGGGGTCAGAGGATGCTGGGAATGAGAGGGCAGCATGCTGGCAGCAGGACCTGCTGGAGTTCCTTCAGTCTCTGAGCCCTTCGTCTGACACTTGGAGTGTGACGTACAGGCCCTCCGAGAGCTCAGAGGAGGCCAGGGCCATTTCACACTGTGAGGGCCCCTCACTGTTTGGGAAGAGGGGTAAAAAATATTTGAATGTAAAGAATGGCATGATGGGAAGAGTAAGGCAGGCATTTTGAAACTCTTAAAGAATGGTAGATTCTGCACTGATAGGGGGACGTGTTTTCTCTTTTACCATATACTGTGGTTCTCAGCTGCCCCCCCCCCCCATCGTAGGGTCTGGTGATATAGGCTCAGCTGGTAAAGGCACTCGCCTGCTGATCACGGGTTTGAGACTGTCAGGTCACTAGATCCTGTGACCTTGTCAGCTGTGGGATAGGCTCTTTGCTCCCAGCGACACCTGTGGCCTCTCCTCTCTGAGGGGTGTGGAGACAGTGGACCTGTGATATCGGCCTGTGGTGGAAAGTAGCTTGAAGGTGAACAGATGGGAGTTTTTTCCTCTACCCCTCGTCACTGTCTTTTGAGAAACCCATCATTTAGTTACCCAAAAATGACGAAGGTATAACAAAAAGGCATTATGAAACAGAGACAGAAGCAGCTCGCCAAATACCCTTCAGGTGGTGGAATAGTGGTGTGAATTGCTTTTTGTATTTTTTGAAAAGCTAATGTAACACATGTAAGTTGCTTTTGATAAAACAATTACAAAACAATTTTAGTCAATTTTTGACCTATTCTATATCAGGGGTGTGAGACCAGTTCCTGCAGGGCCTGTTGTATTCTCGGTTATGTCCCTTCCTAAGCTGGCAGTGAAACAGTTATCCCATTTGTTTGATTGAACATGTACAAATTTCTTAAGTGTCTTAAGGTCTTTTATAGTTGATTAGCCAAAGCATTCCCTAGATTGAAGGTGGGGCCGCCGCTGGTGAAATGTCTTTGGCCACTGGGCTGCAGGCTGCTCACAGGCCCCTCTGCCTCCTCTCTCTGCCCAGGG